CTATGAAGCAAGGAGACTTACCTGACATCCAGCTGCTTCGGTGCCTCACCTGACACTCTGTGGGGAGGGTCCTGTAGGGGTGAGTGGTAAGCGAGGGGAGCCCCCTGGCTGCTGGGGGGGGGGGCAAGGTGCCTCCAGGGTGAGGAATGGTGGGAGGGGACGTGAGGAAAGAGGACAGGGCCGGGTCAGTCCACTGGGAAGGGTGCCACCACGTCCCCCTGGCATTGTCTGTGCTTGAACGTGCCAGGTGTCATACACGGTGTCCATGTGTGGAGGGGGCTGGGCTGCAGGTGTCCGGGGCTGGTTGGGGGCATCAGAGAGGGGTCGTGCATAGGGTGGGCGCCTTCAGGAACGTGTGGGTAGGGATGGTGCGTGAGAGCAGGTGGGGTGTTTGTTGGGTGCTAGAGTGTGTGCACAGTGTGCATAGACATTGCGTGTGTGTGGATGGCTCTGGTAGTTCTGAGCTGGGGTCATGCAGGGGTTAGGGGGCCGTGGGTCATGGGTGCCGGAGCCCTGGGTGAGCTGCGGGTTGGGGACGGCCCTGGGCAAGGGTTCCAGAGACCGAGGACCTGTTGGTGCCCCAGCCCCAGTGTCTGCGCCTGTGCAATGGGGACAGTTGAGCTTTGGGCGGCCGTGAGGGCCGGAGGAGGCACCCGGGCAGGGCAGCCCTCAGTGCGGTGGGCAGAGCCGGTGGGCGGGGACACTGTGGCGGCTCCATGGGGGTCTCAGACCCTCACTGGCTGCCGAGGGTCCTCCGGTTGGGTGACTGCTCCTGGGACTGGCCATGTGGGAAGCAGAGGTCATGCTTCTGCCGTAGGCACCCTCTCCGTGTCTGTGTGTAAGGGGTGGGGGTGCAAACAGGCGTCCCTCCGAAGGGATGTGTGCGGTGAAGTGGTGGGACAGGGAGGGGACGGTGGGTGCCCCGGGTGAAGTGATGAGATGGTGCTGAGGTTGTGTGAGGCATTCGTGGTGTGTTAGGTGTGGACAGGGTGCATTTGTGTGTGTGTGTGCGCACACGCGTGTGTGCGCGCGCACATTTGCACATGTAGCTAGGGGTGTAGTAAGTAGGCGATCATGGGATGGCCACCCACTTCCCACATGGCTCTGTTGTCTAAGCGCTAAGTTAGGCACGCAGGTTGGGGACAGCAAACATTGCCCGTAATTATGTGTGCGCACGCCGGCGTATGAGGGCATAGCTGTGTGTTTTATAAGGCGTGGCTGTGTGTGCTGGGATGTGTGTGTGGCGTGTGCATGAGGATGGCACTGGATTGTCTGTTAGCCGCAGTGTGCGTGTGCATGTGCATGTGTGTGTGTGTGTGTGTGTATCAGGTATAGGAGGGTGTGAGTTCACCTGGAGGAGGAGTTCAGTGAGGGTCATGGGGAGGCCAAAGGATCCTGGGCATTCTGAATCAGTTCTCCTTTAAGGGAATGGAATAATTATCATGCTAATTATGCATGGGCATGCAAATGAGAGGTCATTTGGGGGTCACAGGCTGTTTGTCACTGCCCTCCTCTGGCATTTTGTGACTTTTGAGGCTTTCCCTGCTGCCTCCCAGGCTGTTCTCCGCCCCCATCTTTTCCCTTTGCCCTTTCGTCCCCCTGGGAGCCGCAGCCACCAGCAGCACCCCGGGCTGGCCCCACGTTGCCCTGGTCCTCACTGGCCCAGGGACGGGTAGAGCTGGCACTCGGTCACCTTGGGGGGAGGTGCTGGGCAAGATGGCATTCTGCGTCCCACCTCCCACCCCTGCAGGGGCTCCCAGCACCTAGCTTCGCAGGGCAAGTTCAGGGGTGACCTCCCTCCTCCCCTCCCCCCATTGAGGGGCTGCGTATTTTCTGGAAAGAATGCTCTCTTGGACGCAGGTTTGGAAAATCACCGAGGCGGCCCCTTCCCCAGCTTTGTCTGGTGAGTGTGAGTCTAAATTAAGATGTGAGAGAATTCTCTCCCTCCACCTCCCACTCTCGCCTCCGCTTTCTCTCAACGGCGAGTCCTCCCTCCACTCTTCCCCCCTCCCGCCCCCCGGACTCCTGACCCCTGGCCTTCCACTGTCCCTGCCTCTTCGTCCCGTGGCTCTGCCCTCCCCCCTCCCTGCCATCCTCTCTGTTCCTCCGTGATCTCTCCCTCTCCTGCTCCCCTCCGCCCCCCGCCCTGTGGGGAGCTGGAGCTCCTGGTCCTTAGCATGGAGGAGATGGTCGTCATGGTAACGGTTGTCATGTCAATGGCTACTGATCTGGGGATGAATGGTATCTAGGTGAGAGCTACCTGCGTGGAGGCTGATGGGTTCACAGGAGGCTCCACGCTTGTCTCTGAGCCTCAGAGCTATACTGTATGCACCCCTTACCCAGTGCCCGCCCCCCATGCATGTGCCTATTTGTACCCAAAGACACGCCAACACACGCTACCCCTCTGTGGCTGCCTTTAGGTGAGTGTGTGTCTAGGTGTGTCTGTATGTGTCTTCTCTGTGTTTCTGGGTGTCTCTGTGTTTCATTTCAAGGGTCTGTGTGGCTTTGGGGTGGGGAGATCTCTGGATTTTTCTGCAGATCTTTCTGGGGTTAGGGTTTCGGGGCTGCTGTGTGGCACTTGTCACCGAGGCGCCATAGGCTGCCCTGCTTTGACTCTCACATTCACCCCTGTTTGGAAGTCCCTGGGGACCACAGACTTCTCAGAATCTCTCCTCCCAGCCAAAGAGCTCTCTGGCCTGCCTGGAAAGATGGAAAGACAGTGAGGGTGGCCCCACCCAGGAGTGGAGCTGAGCCCTGGTCCTGCTCAGGCCCCGACCCGCTGAGCGGCCTGGGCAGGAGCTGCAGCCTCTGGTCCTGCTCAGTCCCTGTCCCGCCGGGCAGCCCTGGGCAGGAGCTGAGTCTCTGGCTTCAGGTAATTTGCCTCAGAACTGAGCAGAGTCTCTCAGGGACTCTGGCTCAGCTGGCCTAGGTTTGGAGGCTGGCAGTGTGGGGAGCCTTCCTTCTAGCTTTCTCACCCCAGGGTGGGTGTGGGGGGGGGGCGTGGGGTTGTTCTGGGCTGGGCGGGGAGAGGTGGGGGCGGTGGAGCCGGGAGCTGGGGAAAGTTGGTCGGTGGGTGCGCGCTGAGCCCCTGGAATGTCTCGGAGGAGGAAGCCCAGCAATTAGTCACGAGAGCAATTATACTAATTGTTCCACTCCATGACTCACTGGTAGCAAGTAAACACTGATTAATTCATTACTCTGAGACTGTGTGTGTGTGTGGTGGTGGTGGTGGTGGGGTAACAGGGGCGGGTCGGGGAGGGGGATCTCCTGGCCCTCTGCCCAGGCCTCCCGCCCTGCCTGGGTAGGGCTCTGGAGCAGGTGGTTGAGGCGGGGCAGGGAGCTGGGATTGGGATCCTCCCTGGCTCTGTGCGAACTCCATAGGGGCCTGTCAGGGCGGGTGAGAGGCTAACCCAGTCCCTCTCCTGCTCACATGCCCTGCATGGCCTCCATGCCAGCCGGACGGTGCGGGTGCCCGGCCTGCACTCAGAAAGCTGTCAGGTGGCCACGGGAGGCCTCTGTGAGCCTTCCCCAGCCTCAGCGCGCCCTGTCTCGCCTTGCCACAGCTCAGAGCAGTGACAGATGTGAATCCAGCAGCAGGAGACACTCTGGAAGATAAACCAGGAGGGCTTCTCGGAAGAAAGGGCAGGCGTTTGTGGCACAGAGATGGAGAAGGAAGAGTGTTCTAGGTGGAGGGAATGGCGTGAGGAAGAGAGGCAGCAGAGACCAGGCCTGTGCCAGACACAGAGTCGCCAGGGCGGCTGGAACTGGTGATGGGCGGTGCAGAAGGACCTGGATGAGGCTGGAGGCGGCAGGACCAGCGCCAAAGCCCAGGCTCCCCCCCCCCCTCCCCTGGAGCCTCTGTGTCCTGTGAAGACTCCGTGCGAACCTTCCGCTCTGAGCAGCAGGAGTCAGTCTCGCCTTCCTCTGGAAAGCCCTCGGGGGCAGGCGCTGTGGCTGGGCTCCGTCTGGAATCAGGGTCAAGGTGTGGCCGGAGGTGGGCCAAGCCTGCTCCTCTAGGGGTGGGGCTGGGGGTTGCTGGCCTGTCTTGGATGTCTCAGTGCTGGCTCCCAGCCCAGGGTTGCAGGAAGGACCCAGGAGCCCCAGTTCTCCGTCTCCCCAGGTTCTAATTGTAGCGGAGTCTTGGGCCTGGTGAGCTGGACCCCAGGAGGAACCCCTCTCTGCTCTCCTGACCCCCAGAGACCTCGGGGCAGCATCAGGCCCTGAGCTTACTCCGCCTTTGAGATCCTTTGTGGGGAGATGAGAGGAGCTGACTTCTAGTTTTGGGGAGGACCTAGGGCTGGAGCCTGCACTCCTCGCCCTGCACCCCCTCCCCCGCCCCCTTATCCATGGAAATTCCCTCCCAGAACCCCAGATCTCACACACCTGTCTGCTGGGGCTGATGGTCCTGTCTGGATTTTCAAGGTGTAAGATGCTGGGTCCCAAGCCACATCTGACGTCTGACGGCCACATCTGGGGCAGCTGGGGCCATGGGCACCTGGGCCTCCGTTCTGTCCTCTGGAAGAGGGCCCACGTGGAGGGTAGCACCAGCCTGTGCTGAGTGCCTGCTGTATACGAGGTGCTCAGCTCTGCACACCTCTTAGCGCGTTACCGGACAGGGCAGGTGCGGTTTGCTCTGAGTAATGAATAAACTAAGGCACAGAGAGACCAAGTAACTCGCCCACGTCCGGCACAGATGTATTATAGTAAGCGGTGCAGCCGGGACTCACATCCAGCATTCCGGCTCTAACCCTGCTCCTGCCGCCCAGCGGTTCTGATCAGGGGGCAGGGCAGTGGTGGGTCCTCCGTGGTGGCCGTCAGCAGGACGGGCTGCTCCCCTGGCCCCCGGGGGGGGCGGGGCAGGAAGTGGTAACCACGCCCACCCCGCTCTGCCCACCTGGAGGCCACGCCTGGCGCCGCCCCTCCGTGTCCCTCTGTCCCCGTGGGAGTGTCCGGGCTGCCGGCCCCCGCGCTGAGCCCAGGCCTGTGTGCGCCCTCCGCAGACGCAGCGCTGGCGCAGTGAGAACTTTGAGCGGCCCGTGGACCTGGAGGGCTCCGGGGACGACGACTCCTTTCCCGACGACGAGCTGGACGACCTGCACTCGGGGTCTGGCTCAGGCTGTAAGTACCGCCCCTTCCCTTCTTGCGTGCCGGTCGGGCTGGCCACGCCCGTCTGCCTCCTGTCCCCACGCAAGGCTGGTCTCAGGCCACAGGGCCCCCGCGGGCTCACTGAGGCGGTGGGGGGTGGGGGGGAGCAGGGGAGGCCAGGCTGGGGTACCCCGTGGACCTCACGCTCCCGGAGGGCCAGTTGTCCTGGGGATGGAACCAGGGCCCTACGGCCTCCACGCCCAGGACTCGCAGCTCCCTCGGTTCTGCTCTGTGTCCTCGCCTCCAGGTGGGAGCAGACATCCCCCAGGAGCCCGGTGTTCAGTGCTGCTCCCGCACTCGGGGGAACGTGGCGGGGCAAGTCCTCGCCCACCTGGGAAGGGCCAGCGGAGTAGTGTGGGTTCAAATCCCAGCTTCGCCACCCAACAGCCGCAGCACCTTTATAAAGCCTTTCCTCTCAGAGTCTCTGATCTTATCTGTGAGTGTGACGTACACGGAGTGGTCTCTGAGCACATAATCATCTGGCCACTCAGTGTATATCCTATGGAGTAAAAGGCTAATATGCAAATGATCCCCTCGGCCAGGAATTAGACCAGCAGGCAGGCTGGCCAACCGACCCTGTCCCCTCCCCCTGGCCAGGCTGGCTGGACCCCACCCATGCACGAATTCATGCACCAGGCCTCTATTATATATATATATCCGATATATATATCTGTGTATATGTGTATATATGTGTGCATATGTATATATGTATACACACACACACACACACACACACTCTCTGAGTGGCCAGATTATTATTTGTTCAGAGGTCATAATAGTCTGGCCTCTCAGTGTCTATGCACCTTCTTTGCGGAGCCTGGAGGGCTTCCGCGTAAGATTCTGGCACGGAGAGGGAGCTCTACGCGGTGTGGCTGGGTCTGAGCCCAGGGAGAGGACAGGACGGGCTTCGGGAGGCGGTGGGAGGTCTGCGCGCCACAGAACTGGCCCTCCGCCGCCACCTGCCTCCTCGCTTTAGCCCACTCTCTGCTGGGTCCGGCCTCCACTCCCAACCCTCCGGCCCCTCCTCGCTTCTCCTGCGCCTGGTTCGGCCCGGAGGAGCTGCCTGCGGCTCTTTCTCCCTCATTTCCACCCAAGTCCCTTTCACTTGACGTGGTTTGAGTCCCCCAGATCGCTCAAGCGTCCCCTTGTGGGAAGCTCTCGTTCTACCCCTGCCCTCTGCCTGTGCCTCAGGGAGCCTCTTCCCAGAATGCCCTTCCCCTGCTGCCCCAACCTCTAGCGAGGTTTGCGGCCAGTCGGCCCTCCCACTGCCTGGTTCAGCCTGTGAGAAGCTCCAGGCTGGAGGGCTGGGGCAGTCAGAGCGGGCTTCCTGGAGGAGATGGTCCCCTCGAGAAACTTGGGGCTAGGCCGAGAGGAGCAGGGGATCAGGGGGGAGACTGTGCCTCCCCCTCTCCCTCCTCTTGTCCTGGGAGCACCGTGCACGGAGTGAGGGTTGGGAGCCCATCACTGATGGCCATTGCTTCCCTGGGCCCCCCATGCCCGGATCCCTAGCTCTCTCCTCTCCCCACCCCTCAGACTTCGAGCAGGAGTCAGGCATTGAGACGGCCATGCAGCTGAGCCCAGACGTGGCCCTGGCAGTGTCCACCACACCGGCCATGCTGCCTACCGTGGACGTCCAGCCCGTGGGCACCCCGTTGGAAGAGCTCCCCTCCGAGCGCCCCACACCAGAGCCAGCCACGAGCCTCCCAGTGGTGACGGAGGTCCCAGAAGAGCCCAGCCGGAGAGCCACCGCCATCTCCACTCCCATGGCCACCACCGCCGCCACCACCACAGGGGCCCCGACCGTGGCCTTGGTGCCGGCCACAGCGGCCACCGCCGCTCCCAGCATCCCCGCGGCACCCCCTCCCACGGCCACCACCTCTGTCGAAAGGACCACCGGCGTACGGAGGCTGCTTCCTCTCCCCCTGACCACGGCGGCCACGGCCCCGGCCACCACCCCAGAGGCGCTCTCCCCTCCCACCACGGCGGCTGTCTTGGACACTGAGGCCCCAACACCCAGGCTGGTCAGTACAGCTACCTCCAGGCCAAGGGCCCTTCCCTCCAGGCCAGCTGCCACCCAGGAGCCTGACACCCCAGAGAAGAGCACCCTGCCCCTGGGGACCACTGCCCCCGGACCAACCGAGGTGGCTCAGGTAAGCCAGGGGGAGGACTGGGAGTGAGAGCAGAGGAGGGGGCCAGGGTCTGGGGACGGGGGATGGAGCCGGGCAGAGGTGAGGATGGGAAGGTTCTGGAGATGAGCCAGACTGGATGGGGAGGGAGAGAGAGGGATGTGGCTGGAGTGCCCCTGCTGGGTGTGAGTCACAGGATGAGGATGGAGGGTGAGAGGGAGGGGGATGGAAGAGAGATCAGGCCGGGTTTTAGAATATTCAGAAGGAATAGGGTGGTGTGTGTGCTGGTGGGGATGTGTGTGATGTGTGTCCAGGGCCTGTGTGTTCTGTTAACAGTGCAGACTCGGGACCCAGGCAGCCGAGGTCAGAATTCCTCTGCCACGTTTTAGCCACGGGACTTCAGGAAGCCATCGAGCCTTTCTATACCTTCTGTACCTCTGTTTCTTTTTTTAAAAAAAATTTTTTTTTAAATTTATTTCAGAGAGGAAGGGAGAGAGAGAGAAAAACATCAATGATGAGAGAGAATCATTGATCGGCTGCCTCCTGCACGCCCCCTACTGGGGATCAAGCCTGCAACTCGGGCATGTGCCCTTGACCGGAATCGAACCTGGGACCCTTCAGTCTGAAGGCCGACGTTCTTATCCACTGAGCCAAACCAGCGAGGACTGTTCCTCTGGTTCTTTATCTGTGAAAAGAGAAAATAAGAATGCAAATCATAGTGCTGAGAGGATTAAGTTCCCTGACATATCCACCGGGCTGAGGACAATGCCTGGCTGCAGTCAACGAACCACGTGCTTCTGTATTATTGTCATAATCGCTGGTGGTGGTGTTAGTCTGAAGGTGACTGAGTGAGCAGCCTGCCCCTGGGAACCCCTTGTCGCTGGGTTGAAGCTCAGTGCCGTGCACTTGACCTGTGCCTTCTCCCCTCTCTCACACTGGACACCTGGCCCCACCGGGCATCACACTCTGCAGTTGTGCTCTCAGACTCACCTCTAGACTAAGTGACTCACCTTCACCTCAGGCATGTGGACTGAGGACCCGGCCCAAGTGTGTCCCAGCTGCACCCAGAAACCCCAGAATAGACACTCAATCCCCCAAGGCAGCAGGAGGGGACGTGACGGAGCTGGGATGGGGACAGTAGGTGGCCAGGGGAGAACAGAGCCAGTGTAGAAGTAAATGGTCAGGAACACAGATGCTGGCGTTGGATAGATGTGCATTTCAGTTCTGCTGCTTCCACTTACTGGCTGTGGAAGAAGCTATCCTCCTGAGCCTATTTCCTGTTCTGCGAATTGGGCTTCACAATACTTCCTTCATATGAGGGTAGATGCTCATAATGTGCTTGGCACAGTGCCTGCACAGAGGGTGCTAGGTAAGTGCTAGTCCACTGTGTGTATGTGTGTATATGTGTGTGCGTGTGTGCGGCTGCCCTGTGGTAGGGGGTGCTGGGTCCTGGCGCCTGGGCTCATGCCATCCTCTCTACAGACCCCAACTCCGGAGTCCCTGCTGACCACGACCCAGGATGAGCCGGAGGTGCCAGTGAGTGGGGGGCCGAGCGGGGACTTTGAGCTGCCGGAGGAAGAGACCACGCAGCCGGACACGGCCAATGAGGTGGTGGCCGTGGGCGGGGCTCCGGCTAAGCCATCGCCTCCACCTGGGACGCTGCCCAAGGGGGCCCGCCCCGGCCCTGGCCTCCTGGACAATGCCATCGACTCGGGCAGTTCAGCCGCTCAGCTGCCGCAGAAGAGCATCCTGGAGAGGAAGGAGGTGCTTGTAGGTGAGACGTGGGCCCAGGAGGAGCTCAGGGTGGGGCAGCTGGCTGGGCCTCGGTTTGCCCTCCAGGATCCCTGGAGGGTGGTCAGGGTGTGAGTTTCCTAGGAGCCTAGTTACCCAGGACCTGCCCTCGACCTTCACCCATCCCAGGGCCTGACTCTGACTTCATGTTACCTCCAGCACCGTCCTCAGCACCCTCTGTCCCCAGTTCCTTCTTGGCCCTTGACCCCCTGCTTTTGGGCCATGCTGGCTGACCCACCTGGACCTTCCTCCTTGGGTCCTGATTTCTGAGCCCATTCGTTAGCTTGAGCTGCCCCGAGCCTTGACCCCAGTCACTGAGGACCTGCCCTGGCTGAGGCTCCTGAAGAGTCTGGACTCAAGGTCCAGTCCCCACTCCCCACTCCCCACTAAGGAGGAGCAGTGTGCCTTGGGCAGGTCCTTCCCCTCCCAAGGCTCCCCTTTCATCCTCTGTAGAATGGAGATCATCCTTTTGCACTAAATTCTTAGTGCACATCTGTTCCTACGTTAACGCCTCTGGTTGGGATGGGTGGTAGTTGAGCTGGCAGAGTTGTTCTTCCCTAACGGCATAGGAAATCCCGGAACATCTTTCCCCTGACGATGGGGACCATAGCCCCAACCTGGAGCTGTATGAGGCTTCGAAGGGTTAGTGTGTGGTAGGCAACTAGACCTGGCCAGGCTGCAGTGAGGGCTACCAATGGCAGCAACTCGTCTCAGATTCCAGTCCCCTAGCCCTCTCCCCACTCTTACCCCTTTCCCTCAGGCTGTTGCCCCTCTCCCTAGGCACTCCCCTTGGCTCCAAGCCATAACCCCCCCCCCCCCAGTCCCCCAGCCCAACTCCCTCCTCCGCACATGACCTCTGCTCTCTTTCTCCACAGCTGTGATTGTGGGTGGGGTGGTGGGCGCCCTCTTCGCCGCCTTCCTGGTCACCCTGCTCATCTACCGCATGAAGAAGAAAGACGAGGGCAGCTACACTCTAGAGGAGCCCAAGCAGGCGAGCGTCACATACCAGAAGCCTGACAAGCAGGAGGAGTTCTACGCCTAGAGGAGCCACAGTGCCTCCCCAGAGCCTCAGCGTCGCCCCTCTGCCCAGTCCCCAGCCTGTTCTACCAGCCCTGGCCTCCGACGGGGCCTGGGAGAAAGCCCGGCCCCAGTCCATCTTTGCCCACCCTCGCAAGGTCTGCCCAGACTGTCAGCCTCACACAGATCTTCCCCAAGGCTCAGGGGACCCTGTCATCTGCCCTAGACTGTGCCCTTATGAGCTCATCTTTTGTCTTCCACTCACCTGGGGCTTCAGGACCTCGTGTCAGATGGGTAGCAGGAAAGAAGCTCCTGATTGGTTGGTGGAAGAAAGGGCGGGGCTTGGGTCGGGCCTAAACTCCAACCTGGCCCCACAGGGCTTGCTGAGACCTTCTTTTAAGGGCAGAGAGGGACTCAGGCTAGTTTTCAAGCATTTCTAAGCTCAGCCCTTGAAACGGAGACACTGCCACCTGTTGCTTCTTCCCAGGGCCCCTTGATACCCGGGTAAGAGTGTGCCCCTTGTTGCAGTGTGTTTTGTCCTGGCCTGACCCGGTTGTGGGTACACTCTACCCTCACCGCACCCGCTGCACAGACACCATCTCCCACAAGGTCATACATGCTGTCACATCCAAAGACCGACGCACGAAATGACAAAACCGTACGCCATCTTGACACCACCCCGCCAGCCCAGATAGGTCACAGACACAGACATCCTCCCAAAGACGTTTCTCCTCACGTGTTTCTCACGCCCCCAAATGCTTACGACAATGCAAGTCACAAGTCACTGCCACCCACTGGTGGCGGCGTGGCCTGCTGCCCTCACTGTGTCTCTTCACACACGCACATACAATCCGGCACCAGGCACGCTGTCCCCTAGCTGTCAGGCTCACTGGGAGGGTGGAACCAGGCCCAGCAGTCAGCCCATATTGGGTCCCCTGAGTTGCCCCGTCAGACTCAGTCCCTCACCAAATCCCCCCTCCCCCCCCTGCCAACCACTTGCCACCAACCCCGGTGTGTCAGACACAATCCCACGTGGATGCAGCCTCATCCCACACAGCCTGCTCACGCTGGAGGAAGGCCGGTGGGCACTGGCCTTTCCCATAAAGCGCGTGGGAGGAGATGCCACGAGGCCCCTCAGGGCATTGCACCCCCCAGCCTGCTTCCCTCCTCTCTGAGGCCTGCAAAGGGGTTGGTGTGGGGCCAGGCCCCCACTCGCAGGGAGCCTTGCTTAGGAAGGCAGGCTGGTTCCTGGAATTCTAGGGCTGGGGAGGGGGCATGGATCTCCCAGGACCAAAGGCACCGGGTGACGGGGGGATGGGGGAGAGGGAGCAGGTGGTCTGGCTCCTGGCCTCCCTGCACCCCCCTCCTGCTCTGAGCTAGGGGCTGACCGCCTCCCAGGACACAAGTCTCCAAAGTGCCTGCGAGGGTGGGCCCTGCTGCCCGGGCCCTCTGCACCCTCTCCCCTCAGCCCTGCCCAGGGTCCTCCCTGGGCATGCCCCATTGACACCTTGTCTGCGTATTTGGCCAAACAACTTGGCAGTTCCGGCTGCAGCTGGATGGACCTGCAGTTGGAAGCTGCCCATCCAGACGCCCTGCCCCAGGCTGAGGGCTGAGAGCAGGTGGGGACGGGTGTCACGGCCCCCAGCCCACCTCCCCCTTCTTTACCCTTGCAAGTGGGGCCGCTTCTGTGGCTGTTTTAAAGGTGGGGTCACAATTCTCCTTTGGGGGGGCTCTTGGAGCCTGGGGTGTGGTCTGCTCGGTAGCTGGCTGGTGCTCACACCCCCACCCCTCACCTGCAACCCAGGTGAAAGCCAGGACTCCAGGTTTTCTTTCTGTTCCCTTTTCAAGATGCGCCTGCAGCAGACTCCTGCTGGGCGAGGGCCGGGGTGCCTGCAGCGGTGAGGGCGAGTTCCGGGGCTTCCACGGCCTGTCTGCTCACCCTCCTCCTCCTCTTCCCAGGCTGGGGCTCCATCTTACAGACCCCAAACCCATCTCAGGGGGGCTTGTGAGGAACCCAGCTGGTCCCAGCCTTGGAGGGGGATGTGATGGGGAGAGGCATCCAGGACCACAAACTGTTGATGGAGACCTGGCCTCGATCACCCCTGGAGAGGAAGGGCTGGGGCTCGGATGGATGGCACCAAGGCCCTAGCCCCCCCCTCCCCTGGTCCCTGGCGGGTTGCTGTCTTGGGACAGCAGCTCTGGTGAGAAGGCCTGGGCAGGCTGAGGCTGGGAAACCAGAGACCTGTGGTGGGATGGGGGCGGGCCCAGCGTAGGATGCGTGACAGGCTCGGACTGGCTGGAGGGGGCTTGGGTGGCCTGCGTGGGTCACTTCAGGGCCTGGCTTCTAACTTGGGGCATTACCTTCTGGCCCTGACCTCTTCTCTGCGCCTGTAGCATTTAAGAGGAGAGGCTGAGGGCCTCCATTGAGCCCTGGGCACATGTGCAGGCTTTATCCTTAGGCAATCCAACCGTCTTGCCAGCCCAAGTCCACTCCGGCCAGCCCGAGGCAGGCAAGGTGATCCACGAGGTCGGTTCAAAGGATGAGCTGGCGCTCTCCTAGGTGCAATGTGGGGGCAGGGCCTGCCCAGATCCCCAGACACTCCCGTGCTCCCGGGAAGGGTGTCTGGTGGGCCCTGGCCTTCCCTGGAAGCATGGCCGATGCCAAAGGAGGGGGACGACGGTGGGTTGGGGAGGGGAAGGTTGGACCCACCCCCAGCTGTGGTGTCTGGAGCCGGGCTGTCTTCCCAGGGGCCAGAGGGAGCACCTCACCGAAAGGCTGGGCCGGGCAGGTCTGCGGGCAGTGGCCTGGGATGCTCAATGCTGGACCCCCTGGGGGTTTGCACAGTCCTCTGTCCCAGCCTCCAGCCGGGGCCCTGGGCACAGGGAGCAAACACACCTGTCTCCCGGGCAGGAGTGGCTGCCACCGCCTCAGCTCTCTGAGTCTCTCCCGACAGCCACCACCCTGGACTTGCTTTCCAGGCCTCCTGCCTGTAAATAGGAGCTCACAAACTCCAGATGGACAGAGATGCTGAGACCGGGCCGGGAGTCACTGCCTGAGGGCTGATGGCCCAGCACCCCTCGGTGCCCCCCCGGCCCGGCGCGGCGAATGCATGTACATACTTTTTGTAGGCAGCGTGGCTCCAGGGAGCCCCCCGAAGACAGTGTCCCTCCCGTGCGTCCTCCCTCCTGTACAGAGCCCTCCGAGAACCTGTTCCGGGGCGGGTGGGGGTCTGTCCTTCCCTGCCCCGGGCCCTCCCTGACCCTTCCCTCTCCATAACCTGTTGATTAACCACCCCCCACCCTGAGTTCATGGCCAAAACGTTAAGGAGGAGTCGAGGAAGATGACTGGAAAACGACGAAGGCACCTGCCCCCGTGGGTGCTCCCCTGTCCCAGGCCCGTGAAGGGACCGTTTGGGTTTTTTGTTGGTTTTTTAACACTCCCCGTGCTGTGCCCATTTATAAGAGGAAATAAAATTAAGCTGAAATGACGTGCTGTGGCCGGTGTGAGATAAACACAAGAGGTCATTTATGGGGGTGGGGGTGGGGGGGAAGGGGAGGGGGCAGCCCACGGCCCCCCTCGGACCTCAGCCACCTTCCACTTTAAAAGAACCTGAGGGCCCAGCAGGGAACATTGACTGGCAGCCCCCCGTGGGGGCCGTTATGGTGAAAGCTGCTGCCAGCGAGGCGTGCGTTCGGGAACCACGGAGCGGGCTGTGGCTGGGCTGTGGTTGGGGGAGGGCCAGGCTGTGGCAGCCCCGGACACCCTGAGGGCCACCCCCAGAGGAAGAGCTGTGGTTTCGGGCCGCGAAGATCGAATCTCGGGACCAGAGGGTGCTGGCGTCGGTCTGGCGAGCGGGGCGGCTTTGGGGTCTGGTGGGCCTGGTTTCCGGCTCCGGTGCCATTTGCCGGCTCTGACTCCGAAGTGACCTGGCCTCTCTGAGCCTCTGCTTTCTCATCAGTGCAGTGGGGTCACAGTGACCAACTTCCCGGAGATGGAATGTGGCAGGGGTTCAGGGGTGAGGGGGCACTTAGCACAGGGCCTGGCACAGGCAGCCTCAGACACAGGGTGATGGTGTCAGAGCAGCAGAGCCAGGACAGGAGTCCATGGCCTGGAAGCATAGACGACTTCTTTGGAGAGCCAGGGAACAGGGGGGTGCGGGGAGGAGAGGGGAGAGGGGGGTTCTGAGCCAGCCCTGGCCTCATGGTGTCAGTCCCTCAGGGCTGCAGTGGGGTTGCCCCTGCCTGCTTGCACACCCAGGCCTGGTGCACCCTGGCCCGTGGGTCGCTCCCTGACAGGAAGGTCTTCCTTCTTCTTAGCCAGCCTGCATCTCTGGCATTTCCCACCTTCAGTCCTCGGTCTCTGGGGCATGCTGAGCTCTGCCCCTGGTGGGAGGGTCCCAGTCACAAACGTCCCTTCTCTGAGGGAAACGACTCATGTCCCACAAATATTTCCTCTGGAAATTACTCCTCCGGAAAGGTGATACTCACCCAGGGTCCTGATGGTCCTGGATGGGTTGAAATCTAAGGCCCTGATTTGGTCCAAGATCCTATCCCTCCCTTCCTCCATTGCTACCTCCACCCCCCCCCCCCCACCGCCTCCTTCCATCCTCCCTTGCTCCCTCATTCCCTCCCTTCACTGAAGTCTCTGACTGCCCACCCTGTGCCCGACGCTGTGCTTGGAACTGGATGAAGAGAGGTCACCGAGACAGACCAGCCCTGCCCTCCGAGCACTGAGTCTGCTGGGGGGACAGACAGTAGCCAGTCTCGTGCCTGTAAAGACATGGGCAGCCACCACCTCCCAGGCCCTCCTGGCTTCCAGACGGTTCAGGGAGGAGCGCTGAGGCCTGGGCCTCACTGTGGGCCTTCAGACACCTGTCCCCTGGAAGGTCCAGTCTGCACAGCCCCAAACCGGCGAGGGCCGCTGGGGCTCCTGACAGTGGGCTGGGCCCCAGCTCTGCACACGACCCCTCATCCAGGAAGCTTTGGGAAACGGCTCTCCCCCTGAGTTCCTGCAGCCCGTTGTCCGTTCTCTCCGCCTGCAGGCCCGCCACCTCCTCACCTGCGGGCCAATGCTGAGCACCCACGTTCTCAGCTTGGAAAGCACGATCTCGGGGTCAGATGGATGCACACAGGCACCCCGTCAGCCCCTCTGAGCCTCCGTTTCCCACATGCACACATGCACAAGGAAGGCTGCTATCCAGAAGCTGTTGTGGGGACTAAATGAGATAATAAATTGAGGCAACCAGTCCGAAGCTTGGCATCTGTAGCAGCTGACAGATGGACCTAAGTCCCTCCCTGTCATGTCTGTCTCTTTGCAGGCAGACCTTTAGTCAAACCCGAGCTCTGCCACTCACAGGCCATGTGACATGGTTGAGTTATTCAAACTCTCAGTTTCCGCACCTGTGAAATGGGAATGATCATAGTACCTGCCTAATCGACGCAGTGCTTAGCGCTGTGCCTGGCGCAGAGTGGGCCCAGGGTAAGTTTGGGCTGTGATTCTTGTTATTATTTGCAGGGCCTAGATACTGAGTGAGTGACACGAGGCTGAGTAGACAAAGCAATGTTGGTGCCAGCTCTGGTCTGAACTCTGGCTTAGGCTCAGGCTTAGAGCTGAGGCCGATGCCTGGAAACCACACATCTGGGCTGCAGGGTGGGCCGGGCACTGCTGGGCATCAGAGCGTTCTCGCTGGACTCCTGGGCCCAGGGATGAGCAGCAAAACAGGGGGAAGGAGGAAGAATAGCTGATTGTTCCCCGGAGCCCAGAGGCCACAAGCTGCCCTGAGAACAGAGTGTGCTCAGCTTCTGGGGGCCGCCCACCCAGCTGCTGGCCTGCGGGGGGCTGGGCAGCCCCGGAGGGTCCAGGGTCCAGGTTGGTCACTGCCAGAGCCGTGAGTGAGGGCGGAGGCTGGGCTGCAGACGTGATGCGGTGAGGCCCTGGCTGTGCCAGGCACCCCACAGGGCTCTTCTCACATTAGCATCTCCTTTTAGTCTCATGCGGTCCGGCCTGCTGGCTGTTTTCTCTCAAATGAAGGCACGGGAGCGCAAGGAGCAGAAACCCGAGGCTATGAAAGAGGGGCAGTGGGATTCGAACCTGGGTCTCTGCCTGACGTCAAAGTCTCAGTTCTAGCGTGCCAATCCCTGCCTCTATCACCAGCAGCTGAATGAGCATGGCAGG